ATACTGTTTGGATTAGATAATCAGACATTTAGAATAGTCTGATTGAATATATCTGACGTACTAACACAGACCGAGTTTGTCTTGTGTTGATTTATTATTGATATTGTGATCAACATTTGGATCACTTTTAAGTAATTAGTTTATTGTTATACGATTAAGAGTAACATCGCCCCTTAGTATTAGTTATCAAATTATTCTGATCATCCCTTAAATCACCAATCCGACCTTTATATAATACACGATCCATATATATGGTTTATAGAACCTCATCGTTATTATAACCCGTACTATGTTAACTATTGGAGTTAAACCGGACCTCGTTAATCGCTCTCCCAATTTACAATAGTAACAATATATTTAAAATGTTTTTTTATTTGGTAAATTATTTTATTTCGAAACCTTTCTTAATCTAAGGTGTCAATCTAAGAATATCCTTTTATTTCTAAATAAGTCTAATGATTTTGTTTATAAATATCTTGGAAGAAAATTTTTAGACCTTTACTTCACAAAGTAACTAAGATCTTATTATCGCAATACTTCATTAACTTAGTAATACAGGTCTAGAGATCGATACTAAATTTATTTTCCTCAAATATTTAATTCTTACTTAAGTTGTTTTGAGATACAAAATTCACTTAAGTAGATTATAAACTCCGTATCTATAGATATTTCATATATACCTACAACATAAATAAGTTGCTCGAGTAATTGATTTGCAGTAGCTATTATACAAACTTATTTATGAGGTTTTACTGGCTACTTTTAGCTTTGCCACCTTCCAGCATCTTTAATTAGTTTTTGATTTCATTATTTAATGAATTAACTAATTATTTTGTATGATAATAATATATCTTTATTGGTTATTTATATACTGGAGTATAAAAATTTTTAAGTTTTAGCTATTTTTAATTTGGTCGTTTTATTAGATATCTAATTAGCAATAATCTTTGTTAATATTGCTTACAATATTTTTAATATGGCTTATAATGTTTATTATATTTGTTATTATTAGGCTTATAATAGTTATTAGTATAGCTTATGATATTTATTATTTATTTAATATGGCTTAAATAAACAATTGTGATAGTTTATATTTAAAAAATCTCTATAAATTACAGTATATAGTAACTCCGATTTGTAAAATTTTACAAAATATGGGACCACCACATCCTATTTGGAATTATTTTGATAAGCTTGGACACGTTACTGGATTTCAACAACCTCGAGCAAAATGTTCCGAATGTAATTATGAATTTAATGAAGCTACAAAGCCTGCAGTTAAACATTTTAAAAAATGTCAATTGGTTTCAAATGATAAACGAAAAGAATATGCTGAATTAGAAAATGTTTATAAAGCTAATAAAAAATTAGATACCAATTTAGAATCAACATTATCAACAACAGCCTCTAGTTCACGAATCTCTAAACAATCAATGCTAAGCTTTGTAGACCGCATTACACCTCAGGAACAAAAAGCATTAGAATTAAAGTTTGCTAGCTCAATTTATCAATGTGGTCTTGTTTTATCATTATCTGAATTACAACCTATTATTGATTTATGGAAGCAAGCAAGACCTGCTTTTAAATTACCATCACGCAGACGTTTATCATCATCATTACTTGATAAAGTTTATAATGAAATTAAAAAAGAGATGCAATTTTATATTTCAAATTGCAATAATTTGTGCTTGGTTTCAGATAGTTGGTATGTATTATTGTATATAGTTATGCTTATATAAGAATATGATTATATTTTATTTTTATAATTTAGATTTTTATAACTAATTTTTATATTAGGTCAGATCTAGTTCAAGAACATTAGACAAACTATATATTAACTACTCCAAAGCCAATTTTTTATATGGCAAGCCCAACTGGAGAGACTCGGCAAACTGGAGAAGTAATTGCAGAAAATCTTCAAAAAGTTATTAATCAAGTTGGTGTACGTAAAATAGCATGTGTAATTACTGATAATACATCAGTAATGAAAAAAGCGTGGAATATTTTAAAAAGAAATAATCCACAAATATTATTTTTAGGCTGTATAGCTCATAATCTTAACTTATTAATTGGTGATATTTTAAAATTAAAATGGGCAACTAATACATTAATGAGTTCTAAAAAATTAGTATATTATTTTAAGAAACATCAAATTCCAGGTGCTATTTTGAAGCGATATCAAAAATCTAGTTATACTAGATATAATACACTTAAATATCCAGCTCAAACACGTTGGGGTTCTTCTGCGGCTTGTTTAAATTCAATATTAAAAAACCAGTTAGCATTAGAACTTGCAAAAACTGAATTATCAAGAGCTACCAATATAGATTTTCCTAAAATAATTGCTAATACTATTAATAGTAGTAATTATTGGAATTCAGTTAAAAATCTTTTATTTATTTTAGATAGACTAGTTGTAGGAATTTCAATCTTTGAAAGTAATACACCAAGATTATCAATGTTTTATGAATGGTATAAAAAACAAATTGATTCAACAGGTAATATTAATTTTTAAATTATAAATATTAATATATCAATATTAACTTATAATTTTTTTTAGATTATATTCAAAATGATGATGATGATACTATAAGTGATTCAATTCGAAATATTCTTAAAAAACGGTGGAAAAAAACATATAATCCAGTTATACTTGTTGCATATTTATTAGATCCTCGATATCATGGGCAAGATCTTCCAAAAAATTCTAATTCTATAATTTCCAAATTTGTACAAGAATATTATCCTCAAAATGCTACTAAAATTTGGAGTAGCATTACTGAATATAAAACAAAAAGTGGTGTATTTAATCAGGAGCTTGCATGGAAAACTGTTTATCAAGTAGAACCAATTGCTTGGTGGGAAGCAAATTTTTTATCTACTGCACTATATCTTGCAAAAATGGCAATACGAATTTTATCAATTCCAAGTTCATCTGCAGCCTCTGAACGCAATTGGTCAGCATTTGCACATATTCAAAATAAAAAAAGAAATCGATTAACATCAGAATGGTTATCAAAACTTGTATATATATACTGCAACTATCATCTTAATTTACCATACCTAGAATCAGCTAATACAATTGCAAGTCGCACTCGTGTAGAATCTTATAGTTTTGATGAAATTAATGAATCTGAAATTGGTATTTGGGAGGATAGTGATTTTGATTCTAATAACGAAAGTAATAATACATCTAATAATGATACTCAGGAGAGCAGTAATGAGTATAATACTCAGGAGAGTAATGATGAAGAAATCTCTAGCTCAGATGCTGAAGATTTTTCTGATTAACTAGATAGTATATTAGTAGATTCAGTTTACTCTAAGCTTAGTAAAATCTAATTCAATTTATACTAAGTTTAGCAGAAAACAATTCAGTTTATGCTAAACTTAACAAAAAATGAATTCAGATTATGCTAAGCTTAGTATAAAACAAATTCATTTTATGCTAAGTATAACATAAACTGAATTTATTTTTGCTAAGTTTAGTATAAACTAAATTCAGTTTTTGCTAAGCTTAGAATAATCTGAATTTATTTTATGCTTAGTCATCTTATTTTACAAGTTACTGTAAATATTTAAGATTGTTATACTTAATTTTCTTAATAGCTATATGTTTGTTAAATAGAAAGTATATTGTTTTTTTATTAAATTTTAAGCTTATAGTTTTTGAATTTGGTATCTGAATATCATTTGAATTCTATTCTATTAGTATTTGGATAATGTACTATTTTATATTATTTTTTCTTATATGTTTTAGTATATATTCGTTTCAGAATCTTTTAATACTGCTCATACAACTTAGCTTATGTTTAATGCTATCTAATTCTATTTGGACTATTCTTAATACTATCTAATATATGTTGCAAGTGAATATCATCCAGATACTCTATACAGTAATTATACTATATAAGATACAGGATTGCATAATGCATCATGCTGCATAATGTTGCATTATGTAATGCAAAGCCAAAAAAACTTGCATTTGTACATCTCTAGCAAGCCTACAGATACAACTGTATGTAGGTGTAGATTAGTATGTTTGTAAGTTTGTTGTTCTGTTTTTTCTAGGTTTAGAAGTTTGAAGATGTGGAATCTGAATGTTGTTTTCTTTTTTCCATTAAGCAAATTGAGTATAGTATGGTTTTCAGATTAGTTCATGTATTTGTGAGTTGAGTTTGAGAAGTAATTTAATTATAATTTGTAATGTTATTTGTGAGATATTAACAAAAGGTTTAATAGTATCAATTAGTGAGTATGGTATTAGTCTTTTGAGAGTAGAAAGTAAGAAGATAGAGTTGTGAAGTTGAGTAGATAATTGTAGTAAGTAGTGATTTATTATAAGGTTGTTAAGATTATTAAGTTTGTAATCTGAAATTTCTAAGTTAGTTGAGTTTAGAAGTTATGTAGTTAATTGTTAGATAATTTGAAAAAGAGGAGTTATGTTAAAATATGATATTCAATATAGTTCATCATTTACTTTATTGCAAATAAAATATCTGTTAGCAATATTATTAAGATGAAAAGTGTAAAAATAAATTAGAGTTAGAAGTTTATTATAGAGAAGTTTAACTTAAATATTTTAAGTTTACTTAGTATAAGTTATATAATTTTTTGTTATTGTTATTAATAGATAGCTATATTGAGTTTCAATTAATTTAATTTGCTACTAGATTCTAGAATTAGTTTCTATTTAGTGATGACTATATTGTAATAATTTATATATTGTATATTTTTAATAAATCTATATATTAATTGTTCTACTATAAAGTTTTACTATTTAATATAATAGTATAGATTGTAGATATTAAGTAGTTGAGTATAAGATATTAGAAAAGTTTATTATTTTATGCTAGAGAATTAGCTTTGTTGTTAAAGGTATTATTTTCATATACTTAAACTTTATATAATTTAAGAGTAAAGTTAAATAATTTAATAAGGTTTAGTAGTAAATACTAGTAGTGTGATCTGTTGATCAACAATTTGAATAACTATTCAAAATTCGTATTTTTGTATAATCCGTATTATCTGTATATATATTGCAGATCAACTACTCAACTACAGTTAATTGTAGTTAACTATTCAAACTATAGTTAACTGTAGTTAACTACTCAAACTACAGATAACTATAATTAACTATAAAAACTATAGTTAACTATAGTTAACTATTAAAACTGTACAGATTATAGTTAACTATAGCAAACTATTGAATTTGTTTAAGATTGCATATTAATATTATCTGTTCAAAAAATATAAATATATAGCAAATTACTAATATTAATATAAATATAACTTTGAAAATATTTGATATATTTGGTAAATAAATTTAAGAAATAAAATTAAATTATATTAAAAAAATATCTGCTTGTAATGAGAATAATATTGAAGTATCAACAAATAATATACAAACATCTAATAAAAAAAAAAAGTCAATAATACAGAGAAAAGTATTAATTTCAGAAGTTAGATCTAGTTATACTTTGATTATGTATATATTAATAATATGTGACATATGATCTGTAAGGTTGAAAAGATAAATAGAATAAAGTATAATATAATGTATAAAGTAAATACATCAACAAGTAATTGTTTTTCTTATCTTTTGAATGCTTATAGAATAACTGAAAACAATGATAAAAATAAAAATAATATAAAATTAGTTATTATTCCTTATTATAAAATATATCAACTTCAATTATATTAAGATCTAGCAGATTGGATCATAACTGATTTGCAGTTACTTACTGTTCTTCAAAACTTAGCTTTTAAAAAATTTATAACAAAATTGAATTCAAGATTTCAAATTCTATGTATCAAATATATGAAAAAACTAGTGCATATTGCTTATAATAATTCATTAAAATTAATTATAAAAAAAGTAAAAAATAATTCATTTTCTGTATCTTTAATATATAACTTTTGAATTAGAAAAAACTGACAAGGATTTTTAGGCATAATATGTTCATATATTGATAATTATTTTCAACTTTATGAGATTATAATTTCTATTAAACATATTTATCATCCTCATACAGCTAAAAACATTAGTGATACTATTCTTGTATTATTAGATGAATAGGAATTGCATGATAAAGTTCTTATAATAACAACTGACAATAGTAAAAATATACAAAAAGCTATTAAAGACTTGAAATATAAAGCAGAAAATATAATCTGGCTACCATGTATAGCACATACTCTTCAATTAGTAATTGGCAAAGGATTAGAACTAGTTAAAGTTTTAGTTAAATGTATTAAGTATTTAATTAAATTTTTTTTAAGACCAAAACAGTTTGAATGTTTAGAAGATATATAAAATTAATATAAAAAATCAAATGAGATTAATAAATTTTTTTATCATTATATTTATTTTTAATTATTGATTTATATTTTTTAATTACTAATTTTTTTTATATTTAAGAAATATTTTATTGTATGTTTATTTTAAATTTATAAATTTAATATAAAATAATTTATTACAAAATTTTAAAAAACAAAATAATAATTAATAGTTTATTTTAGAAGCTGAAGAAACATCAAAATATTTAAGACATATAATTGCAGATGTATTAATTTAGTAGAACTCTAGTTACATCGCATAGTGTCACCTCTTAGAATTAGAAAAATATATTTGTTTATTAGAAGATGAGTTAGCAAAAGATATTAATTATGATTCTAAAAAAGATTCTCAATATTTAACCAAAATAATGTTAACAAATCATGAGTGGATATTACTTCAAAATTTGATTTCAATATTAGGTTTATTTGAAGAAACAATACAATATCTTGGTAGTAGTAATTATACTACATATAGTATACTAAATCCTATAATGATACATATTATTAATAAACTCAAACCTATATCAAACCTATCAAAAGAAATTAATATTGAAAGTATCAAGGATATTTTTTCAGAACTTGAAATTTGTGATGATGAAAATAATCTAGATAAACCTATGCAAATATTTGGAGTTTTAGGAAAAGTTAAAGAAACATTATATCATGCAATACAATTTTATTAGAAAAAAGATGATAATGAATTATATTTACTTTCTATTCTTGATCTCTGAGTTAAAAAATTTGATTTTGCATCTGATAAAATAAGACAAGTTCAGGATTTACTAAAAACTAAATATCACAATGCAAAAGATAAATTATCACCAATTTTAACAACTATATCATCAACTACCTCCTATATTGATAATAACTGATCTACTTCTTCTCTATATATACCAACACTATTCAACTTCTTTAACAATCTACTATTAATCAATTTATATACTGAATTGGATAAATATTTTGCAGCTCCTCAAATTCTTTTTAATTCTGACCTATTTGCATAGTGAAATCAAAATACTTATAGGTTTCCTGTTATCAGCAAGTTAGCACAGTCTTATCTTGTAGTTTCAACAACATCAACACCTTTTGAAAGGTTATTTTTAGACTGCAGCAATTTGATAGATCCTAAGAGAACACGTATGAGCCTAGAATTTTTCAAGTATTTAATGTTTCTAAAACAGAATTACTATGTCTTAGACAGTATTCACCCACAAATTTAAAATTCGAGAACTAATTTTTTATATGCATATATTAATTTTTTGTTTAAACTAAATTACAAATATACAAATATTATATTCTATACTTAAAATATACATATTCAAATGTTTTTAATAATAATTAATTGTTGTATATTTTATTATTACATGTAATGCATGTATGCATATAAGCAATTTAATTACAATATATATAAAGCACATGTAGTAAATATTATGTTAAATAAAAAATATGAAACTTATTGATTATAACATAAAAAATATTATAAACTTATTCTCGGATAATTTATATATTCTGTGATTTAATAAGATCGAATGTTTCTTCAACCTCTTTGCTATAACATCTTGCAACATATTTCATAGCATGTTTGTTGCTTAGTTTTGCTGCTGACATTAATAACAAAAAGCCTTATATTCATCTGATTTAACTCCCAACCTATTTTTGTAGCAACAGCATAGTTTAATCAGGGTCCCGAATATGCTAATTAGAAACCTCCGCGGTGATAATTCAAAGATATCATATAGGTTAATTGGTACAAAAACCTGAATTCGTACAAGGTTACACTTACGTTTAATAGTACTAAAAAGTTCAATCCGTACAACGAAGTGTGATATAAAATAAATAATGTGATATAATCGTATTCAGGGGCCCTGTTGAATCATGAGAGTTACCGTTACTCTTCTAACTGCTTAACTAAAATATCTCACTATTCGTTAACGTTAATTCGTATAATCTGTATGCATGTGTATATCAACTAGTTAACTGTAATTAACTATTAAAACTATAAAAGTTATAGTTAATTATGCAAACTATAATCAACTATTCAAATTTTATAGTTTTGTAAATCATCCGTATTAGAATATATAGATTGCAAATCAATCCGTATATGATTTTGTGTAATCCGTATTATCCGAATTCAAACGGATCACATCACTACTTGAGAATGAATTATTTTAAGGTCTGATGCAATGCTTTTTGCCTTGCAGCAGTCCTTGATTTGTCGTATTAGACTGCAGTTCTTAATCTTAAACATTTCGCATATAGTGCCTACTGGTTTTGAAACTTGCAGACTTTCTATAGCTGCTTTGCTATCCGTGACGATGTTTAGGCTTGAATTACATGGTACGACTAAAGCTGCTGTCCATATTGCACCAAGCTCAGCATGAGTTGAAGAGGGCCAATCTATTAAGCTACTACTAAAACTAATACTATTTTGACTACCTGCATTCTCATCAACTACTACTCACCCTATTCCCATTTTGCCAAAAACTAAATTATCTGACTCTCTGTTTACCAACGAATCGTCTGTATAAATGCTTATGAAATTGAAAATTAATTATATATTCTAATTTTTTTATAAGCTAATAAATCAAAATTCTAACCTCTTATAAAATTAAATTAGTAAAATTTTTATTTTAAATAAATTAATAAATCAATAAATTAATAATACATACTTTATAATTGCTGTTCTAAGTTTTAATTTTGTTCCTTTTCTATTAACAGATACATGTGCTAACTCTACAATATTTGTATTAAATAGAGTTGAATTCTATAAATTAATTAGCATTTTAGTATAAGCTTCTGTTAATGAAGCTAATATCCAAAGAGTTTTATAAAATGAAATCTAATCTAAAAACAAAAAATTTAAAATAAAAATTTAATTAAAAAATTAATTTATTAATAATAATATTTATAAATAATAAATTATTTATTTACCTTTAAAAATGAACTCTACATAATTTAATAATATATTTTAAATACTCTTTTCTTTTTTTTAAAGGATCAATTATTTTTAATGCTTTTGCAAGACCTTTTGCTTGAGCTAAATCTAAATCAATAATAATATAGCCTAATCCTGTATTATAAATTTGTTGAAATTGAAGCTTTTAAGAAATTAATATTTCAATATAATTAAAAAATAAATTAAACATTTCTTTATCCTTTAGATTGTAGACCAATGCAGGCAAATTTGCCTGCGTTTTTGCATTTATTCAACTCTGATTTACTTTTTTAAAATACAAAAATATTAAAAAAATAATTATAGATAATAAAATTTGAAAATAAGGATTATC